AGTCAAATTCCCAGGTTAAAAGTTGGGGAACTGGGGTCTGATAACAGATATATGTATTTGTAGGATCAATGGGATGGAATATTTGAAATGAGGGTTGTCTGGAGAAATCTCAGTGAAAAAGAAGAGGATCTCGTTCCTTTTTTATGAATTATATTATGACTCTTCTCCCTCCTCCTCTTCTTCTTCATATCCAAAAGTGTCTTCGGTGTGGGAGTGCAGACCACTGTGTGTCTGAGCAAGAGCTCACCTGTATTTGGTGCTGCACCTGAATATCCTGGGGATTGGGAATTATTTAGTGAGAAGTAACATCAGTGCTGTCTCAAAGCCAAGAGCCATGTGGGTGCTTTGCTGAAATAATGCAGTAGTACCTCCTGGCTTTATGTTGGGCTTGTAGGATGAAAGGCTGGGAACAGATGGGAAATTAGGGCTTTGGGTGAGGGGAGGGGCATAAATAAGTTGTAAAAATAAAGAATTTAACCCCTGACTTAGCTACTCCTAAATGGCCTTTTCTTGGCTTTCTTCTCTTACAGCTCTGTAGCATTTGATCATTTGATCATTTCCTGCTGCTTGCAACTCTTGTCCTGGGCTTTTGTGAGATTCCGCTCCTTGGTATTCTCATCATGTGCTGACAGCTCTATTTTATTTGGTTTCTCTGGATCCTCTTTTTGTCCTCACCTCCCACTGTTGCCGTTTCCCTAGGTTTCTGGCCTTCTTTCTAAGCACTTTCTTCCAGGACAAACTTCCTTGGTTTCCGTAATTTCTTCTGGGCAGAGGTTCTGGCTCCGTAAACCTGAATAATGAATGATCTCCTCTAACCTCTCTTGATCTTGAAATCTGCCTGCATGTCCTGCTGGACCTCTACATTCAACACATTAAGGAGAGTATTTGTCACCGTCCTCCCCCACTCATACCAGCATTTCCTCATAACTTAACCTCACACTTTGATGCTTTAAAGATCACATTTAGGATTGTCTCCCTTGCCACTCCCCGCCCCCCCGCATGCACACCAAATCATTTTTGACCTCCTCATTTTCCTCAAACTAGAGTTAACACCCTGCAAGCAGACTCCAGCCCTTGTTTTCAGCCACCCTACTGCACCCCGCAACTGCCCTTCCCCAGCCCTTTTCAAACTTCAGTACATTGGCCATCATCCCATGTAGTCTTTACCTCCAAGACTTTATTTAATCTCATTCCTCTGTCACGGATGCCTCTCCTGTTCCCTTTGCTATCTGTTACAATGCTACTCATTCTTTAGAGCCTATCTTCAGTGCCTCCTCAACATGTTTTACAGCCCGGCAGCCACGTATGATTCTGTCTTGCACTCAAGTCTTGTACTAGGCTTAGCATATGCCAGACACTATAGGAGGCATTAGACATCCAGTACTCAGTTCGCCCTGCCTGGAACTCTGCCTGTGAGGCAGGTACTGTCCGTTTTGGTATCCTAACTACATGCTAACAGTTTCATTTCGGTTTGTTTCTCCGGCTCCTTCTCTGTTCCTCGCCTCCCTTTGCCACTGCTGGCTTCTAAAGTGGCAAAGCCCTGAATTGAAGCTAGGTTTGCTTGCCCTTAACCTTTGCATACTGCTTGAAGGGCATGCACTGTTGGTACTTGAAGGCCCTTTGATCATCAGGTAAGGACTATGGCTGAATCACAGTAAGCAGATCCCTGCACCCAGTGGGAGCTCACTGATTGAGTGTTGGATGATAAATGGATGCGCAGAGAAAAGTGCATATTTGTGAAAAAATTGTAGCAAGTTAAAAATCAATCCTCTCCTCTTCACAAAAGGGAGATTTGAAACCACTTTCCAGCCCCAATTTAGTTTACTTTCCTTTTAGATTTTATTTATTTATTTTTAGAGAGAGAGGAAGGGAGGGAGGAGGAGAGGGAGAAAGACATCGATGTGCAAGGGAAACAGTGATTGGTTGCCATTCGCATGCCTCCAGCTGGGGGTGGGGCCTACAACTCAGGCATGTGCCCTGACTGGGGCTCGAACCTGCCACCTTTTTGCTTTGCAGGATGACACCCAACCCTGAGCCACACTGGTCAAAACTAGTTAACTTTTAAAAGTGCTTAGAGGACAGATGATATTTTGTTGAGTTTCACACTTGAAACCTAGATGATTTTGTGAACCAATGTCTCTCCAATAAATTCAATTAAAAAAGTGAAATAAAAAACCTAGAAGATGGGGGAGGAGCATTACTTAATTCCTGCTTGTATTTGTGACTAGACAGCAGTGGCCTCACTTTTATACTCACTTAGTCCTGCTGACTTCTCTGGGTCCTCAGGTCACGGCGTCCAGCTATGCCCTGGACAAAGCCAATCCAGCAAGCCTGTTGTCAAGGCCTACTTGGAATCGATGATAGTCAGAACTATATAGCACATCAAAGATCATCAGTGTTCAGCCTCATTTTTTGTATATATATACAGATACATATATATGTATATATATACACATACCTATATGTATATATGTATATACACATACATATACACACACATATATACATATGCATATATATGTACACATATACATATACACACACACACACATATATATATACATATATACACACACTTTTTAAAATATAATCTTTATTATACTTTTCTCCATTACCATTCGGTCCCCTTGCCCTCATTTTATAAATCAGGTATACTATAGCAGACATCACTTGCCATTAGTCACCAGATGACCAATTTCCTGGACCTTTTTTCGCCCCAGCGTAATGCCATAGATGGAGAAGGTAGAAAATGGACAGCTGGGAGGAGCCAAGCATGGAGTCCCTAAAAAGAAAGCTCCACTGTAGAAAGAGCTCAGGCAGTGGAATCAGCCAGACCTGGGCCTAGAGGTTCTCAAATAGCACCACAGATAGCGCCCTGAGCAGGGGCTTGGTAATTAATGCCAATCCATTCCTTTGACCCTTGATAAAAAGCCAAGGATACAACTTTAAACTGCAAGCCCTCATGGTGCTCCGAGTTGGTGTTGTATGTGCTTATTGAGCTCTGGCGACACCCAGTTGGGACCCACCTTTGGCGGGAGAGGGGAGACTTTTCTATGAAGATTTATTTCATTGAGGCCAGTGACCAACAATTCTCCACTGAGATGAGAACAAGAAGAAATTGACTTTTCTTAACTGGGAATAACCAGAAAAAAACCAAGATCAACATAAAAATCATTCTTCTCAGAGGCAGGAGCATCCTTAAAGGTGGCTGGTCAACTGTCTTTCCTTGGGTTCTTCAAGAACAGGAGCCGTACGGTTTATGATATTGTGAATGGAGTTTTATGAATTCAGTATAGCTGATTAGTAGTCATTGGTAGTCCAGTGTGGTGGGTTCTCAGTCTCCGTGTTTATTCTGCAGTTGGCCAAAGAACCAGATCGTCTCTGTGAACCTGTTTCCTCCTCTGTAAATATGAGTAACACTGAGGCCCAGCTCACTCAGTACAGATCAAGAGAGGCAGCAGAAGGGAAAACACTTTGTAAACAGTAAAGCGTGAGGTACTTGAAAGGTGGTATTATAAAAGAGCCTATCGGACATCTCTTTTACATCCATGCTGAGGAGCTCCCCCTATGCCTTACCTTCTCTGGAAGACACAATGGCTAGAACTCTGAGCAAGTAAAGGATGCGCCAGGCAGGGGCTGACCAATGTGTGCTGTGTTATGTGTTAACTTCATGACCTTAGGTTTATCCTCTGGCTGGGATGTTGGAAGGCAGACCTGTGTGAGAGGGTGTACGTGCCATATCCCGTCTCTGTTGTCTGTCAGCTGTTTTGTTGCTGGTCTTGTGGAGCCATGTGGCTTTGGGGAATCAGTCCTTCCTCAAAGCGCACTGATGCAGAGGCTGACTTCTAGAGGACATGTTCAGCAATTCAACGCTGGGGAGAGAGTACTTGAGTCCTTTGCCTGGCAGGCCATATGTTCTCTATTGTGGAATCTGTTTCTGCAAATGCCAGGAAGACTCATGGCCCATACTGGCAGGAACCAGTGGGGGGTGGGGGGAAGAGAACAAATAACACAGTGGTCAGGATGGTAGCCAGAAAGAGGCAGACTGTTTCCCTACCCCGTCGTCATCACTGTGCTTAGATGAGTGTTGTGAACGTGAACGGGTGTGCGTGTGTGTGTGTTCACGTGGCAGAGAGATAGATGTCTGCCTGCTGCTGTGTGGAGCGCAGTCCCTGTGGCCACAAAGTTTAATGACCAGGGTTAGGGCCTATGCAGAACCACAGCCTTGCCGGGTGACCCTGAGCTCACCCCTTAACTTCCCTGTGGTTCAGCTTTGCCATGGATCAAATGCAGAAATCAACCCACGCCTCCCTATGTATCTCACAGGGTGGTCGTGCAAATCACTGAGTGAATCAGTGCCAGAGTTTAGTTTCTTGGGAGCCAGGCATCACAGAAAGCCGTATTCTTTCCTACCCATGACCTCTCTGGATGGCATCGTGTGTGGGTGAGAACAGGAGGCTGCAGGACTGGGATCCATTGTGTGTGAGGAATGCCATGGTCTGTAACCTCTGGGGGTGGAGCACAGTGGTGTTAAAAATGTACCACCAACTCTCAATTGGTCAGTGGCAATGAAGAGGAGGAAAGGGAGAGGAGCACAGAGAATTTAGAGCAAATATGCCCAAACCTCATTTTTAGCCATTGATTTCAGCCTCTCTACCCATTCCAGACCTTCAGCTGCCTTGAAGCACCAAGGAGAGATGGACTGGTGCTTTTTTTCTTCGCTGGGGGAGGAGGGCATGAGTAGGGCTAAAAGCATGAGGCCTGTGTAGTCCATATTCACATTCTTGGTCATTCCACTCACCGGCTAATGTCGAGTTTACAGTATCGTTTGCCTTGTAGTCCAGTGGCTGTTGCGCTTCCAGTGGCATCTCTCTCACCCCCATCCTTCCCCACTAGTATGTGACTTTTTCCATAAAGTGGCAGAGCTCTGTGGGTGGGGGAAGGGTAAAGTAAGGTAGCCAGCTGTGTGGACTGAAAACATTCTCATTTTGTCTCCTAAGCTGATCACTGGAGATTCCATCGTTAGTGCTGAGGCAGTATGGGATCACGTCACCATGGCCAACCGGGAGTTGGCATTTAAGGCTGGCGACGTCATCAAAGTCTTGGATGCTTCCAACAAGGATTGGTGGTGGGGCCAGATCGACGATGAGGAGGGATGGTTTCCTGCCAGCTTTGTGAGGGTGAGTGTCAGCCTTCACTCTCCTCTCCCGTCTCCTTGGCTGCCTGCCCTTGGCTTTCCCCTCACCAGCCCCTTTCCTCCTGCTCATTTGTCTCCTGGTGGCTCATCTCACATTCTACTCCATGTTTTAGGTCTTCAACCCAAGACCTGGACTTCTTTTCATTTTTTTCCCCTCCTGATTTTGAGACTTTTCCTTTCTGTCTTGTTTATTTTAATGATCCCCGCCTCCCGCCTCCTGCCTCCTACCTGCTGTGACTTTATACAGATCATTTCCCTTTTGTCCTTGGTGGTTTTTGAAGACCCTTTTAACTCTGTATTGCTGTGAACGTTACCTTCTCATCTCTCTTTATTTTCTGCTTTCTTTCTTGTCCTCGCCTCCTGTTTTTTATTCTTTCTGCTTTATAGGTCTCTCCCCTCCTCACTCCTCCCGTTCTTCCTTTCTCTCCTTTAGGGAAGTGTGAACACCCCTGTGTGTTGTCTCAGGATTGTCTTCAGCTGTGAATGTAAGAGTGTGGGCTCCCTACCCTCTCAGGGGCTACAGTTTACTTATTGGAAATCTTACTTTTTGCAAGAGACTCAAGTGGCTGGGACCTAAGATGTACTGGGGGTGAGAAGCAAGCAGCCTAATAGGGCTCACAAAGCCTTGACCCGTTTTTGCTATGTACCATGAAGAACCTGGCCCGTAACAGAGGGGGCTATTGGGAGGGGACCTCCTTAGCAGTTTCTGCTTCCTCTGGGTCACCAATTAGTAAAATGCTGTGAGGGAAGAGCATTGGCCTGATGTCTCAGCTCTTGGCCATCCTTAGAGTTAAGAGCTAGAATCAGCTCTTTGGCAATTATGAGCTCTGATTTTCCCCATCCACAGAATGGTCTTGGCAATTCTTTCATTCCAGAGGATGTCATAGTTAATGAGATAATGCACGTTAAAAAACAAACAAACAAACAAACAAACAAACAAACCTTGTGGCAGTCCAAGTACACCATAGCCTATCACCTTTTGTTAGTTTCTGCTGTACAATAAGGCTGAAGTCCTTACCCAAACCAAAGATAAAATTGGTTTTGGCCTTGGCCCTTGAAGGATGGAAAGCCTCAAGATGACAATGATGGCAGTGCGACATGAGGGAAGGAACAGGGCATTTGGAATTAGACAACTGAAATACAGTCTGTTTCATTACCTCCTGCCTCTATGGCTTTTGGTAAGACATTTCACTTCTCTGAGCCTTAACTTCCTCATCTGAGCAGTAGGAATTGCAGACTTTTTCCAGTTAGGTGTGTCCAACCTTTTGGCATCTCTGGGTCACACTGGGAGAAGAAGAAGAGTTGTCTTGGGCCACACATTAAATACATTGTGACACGTAATCCCCAAAACAATCTCATCATGTTTTAAGTAAATTTACAGTTTTGTGTTGGGCCGCACTCACAGCCATCCTGGGCCGCACGTGGCCATGGGCCGTGAGTTGGATGCCCTTGGATTAAATGGAGTCACATATGTGAGTAAAGTGTCTAACACAGTGCTTGGTACATAGTGGGCATTTGGCAAATGCTAATTTGCTTTATTATCATCATTATCCTCACTGTTATCACCACCACCATCACATTAGATGCAAAAAGGTCTATAAATCAAGGCTGGCCATATTGGTTGAAAGAGGTCTCCTTCCTTAGAGGGTACAAACCCAGGAAGCACTGTTAACTGATTCCAGTGTTCTAAGTGAGGACACTGGTTGGAAGCAGAGAGGTGGACAAAGTGACCGCTTATCTCCTCTGTCCCGAGAATCTCCTAATGAACTGTCCAGTCCTTTGTTTCCTCTCTGTATGTGGCATCTTTCATCAGAGTCTCCAAATGCCATCTGTTTCCCAGCTCAGCTTTGCTGGTTGATGAATTGGTCCCAGGGGTAGTCAGAAAGAGCACATCAATAACCATGGGCCTTTGGAACTAGCATGAGGCCTTCTACAGAGACAGCTTGTGTGTCTTGGACTGACAGTCCCCTCTCTTTAAAAGAAGGATTAAACTGCACCCAGCGACAATGTCACCCAAATCCAAATGTATTTCACTTTCAGTGAAATGTCATTTTTATAATAAGCAGTAAATCAAGGGATGGGACAAAATGATTGAGCAAGGCAGAATGGCTCGAGGAGGCAAATGGCAGAGCAGGCTTTAGAATATAAATGAGCTGGCATTGATGCTTCTACGGCCAGGGCCAGGAGGCGTCTTCCTCCAAGCACACAGCCGCAGCAGCCACTTGGGTGGGCTGATGCTGACGTTTAAGAAGACCACTGGCTGGCCCAGGCATGCATGATATAGAGTCTAGCCTATTGGTTGTCAGCTGCACAATGAAATTAATCACTTGAGTAGCTTCAAAAACAAAGAATCTTTGATACTGAGAACTACTGGTCTAGACAAGCAGAGCCCAATAGGAATTTACTGTGAGACACAAATGCAAGACACGTATGTAATTTAAATTTTTCTACTAGCTACGCTAAGAAAAGTAAAAACAGATAGAAGTGAAATTAATTTTAATACATTTTAGTTAACCCAATATATCCAAAGTGTCATCATATAATATATAATATCATATGTTATCACAATAAAATTATTAATGATATATTCTACTATGTCTTTGAAGTCTGGTGTGTATTCCATACTTACAGCTCATCTCAATTCACACTAGTCACATTTTAGGTGTTCGTTAGCCACACGTGGCTAGTTGCTATTGTATCAGATAGCGTAAATCTAGACTAAGGACCGTAGTACTAGATCAGGATCATTAATGGCAGAGCCTAAATCATAACTTAGAGCTCGTATATTCTGTCTACTCTACCGATGCTTATTCCATGAGAAAGCAAGCATGCCATGCTGCCTCAGGTTGTGTTTAGAATGAGAATTTTATTATTATAAAAGTTTTTTGTTTGTTTTAATAGTAGTCTAATGGTCTTCAGACCTCTAAAGGGAAGCACCATGGAATGTAGGGGCCAGCTGTTATGACGTCATCAGTAAAAGGAAAGGGGGTAAACTGCTGTTGCATGAACCAAGTGAGTGTTGGCTCCAACGGTAGACCTTTCAGTTCTCACGAATGGGCATTTATGTGTAGGCTTACATTGCTAATAAGATTGGATGATACTCAAGGGATTAAATGATGGATGATATGGAAGCTCTTTTATTGTAAATATTTTAAAATAAAATTACTGTCTCTGTTCCTCTACATCAGCAATTTCAACTTTTTCATCTCATGGCACAAATAAACTAATTACTAAAATTCTGTGGCACACCAAAAATATGTTATATTTTTTGCAGATCTGACAAAAAATAGGTATGATTTTTATTCATTCCCACCAGATGGCTAATGTTATTTTTTATTTGACAATCTAAGGGGGGAAAAAAGGTCAGTTCCCCTGACTAAATAGTCAGTTATTGCATGTTTTAAAAGTTCTGGCGCCACTCCGGCTGGAAATCACTGCTCTACATTGGTTTAGGTGGAGGGTAGAATGGTATTGTGGAAACAGTGCTAACTGTATTAGAAAATGAGAGTCCTGTTTTCTAGTCTTGGCTCTTCCAAACGTTAAGTATATATTCACAGTGTTTTCTTTTTATCCTTTATTTCTAAAGCATTCTCTAGAGTCTATTTCAAGTTCTGACAAAGCTAGGTAAGACATAGGCAGAAGTCACAGTGAACTGTGGAATCTTCATTAGTGCCGATGTATTTGGTAGGCAAATGGGCAATTTCCTGGGTTGTGTTACGTGTTATAAGATATTTGCTTGGTTTATCCATCCTGACCCTGAGCTGAGATTCAGTAGCTCCTGGAGAACATCACTGCTAGGTTCTTTGGCATGTGACATGGAAGTATGGTAGAAAAGATTTTTCCCCTTAAGTCTTTACCAACTGGACACCTTTTTAGACCCTTGGACAAAATTGGACACTGGCGTATCAAAGCATCTACATTCCCTACCTGGAAGTCTCATTGCTTTGTGACTGTCAGCCCTAGGACAATAATCAAGGGTCCCTAGTGAGCTACTGTCTCAGTTCTGCTATTAGATGTGCATATTGAGCAGCTTCCTGTGCATTTTTGAAGCTCAGTTTTCCTCCTTGTGGAATGGGAATAAATGAGTCTTGTGAAAATTCTCTGTAACCTGTGATATGCTGGACACCTCTCAGTAGGAAGTGTGATACCATTTTGGCTATTGTACAAGAAATCGCTGGGTACGTGTGTCTTCTGCCAATTCAAATTATTTGCCTTCCCTGTTGTTCTGAATTTCATTCTGCATGTGTGTACATGTATTTGTGTGTGTTCTCCCTTCTGGACTGGGGACATGGCTTCACAAGAGTAATGCAGGAGTTGTTGTACCCTCCCAGCAGTTGGTCAGCTTAAGTGAATTACAGCTTACTGAACATCAGTCCCCTTATCTAGTTGTTGACATCTTCAGCTGCTTTCCTGGACTGGTTTCCCTCCCTGGAAGCTGAGGGCAGACTGCTGGGATATGATTGTGTGTCTTAGTAGCAAATCTCACCCCTGTGGTGGGGTGTCCTTTCCAATGCTCAGCCTTAACTCCAAATTATTCAGGCACTTTTCCTTTGTCATTATGTCAAAAGGGGCCTTTGTTCTGACTTCAGGCTGTGGCCTGCAGAGGGCTTGCTGCCCACTTTGAGAGCAAGCTGTGTGCAGAACATATGGGATCTCATTATTGCTGGTGGTAGGCAAGGCCTGCATGACAGGGCATGGGTTTGGTCAGAAAGTAAAGACTCTGCTCAGGTTCCATCAGCACATATATTCTTTATTTCATCAAATTCTAGATTTCCCTGGTTTCAGGCCTGCCTGGAGGCAGGGGGATGAAAGGATGAGCTAATCAGGTCATTACCGCCATTCCTTGCAGTTGTACAGGTCAAATGTCACAGAAAATAAATCTCTCCTGGTCACAGGGAAGCCCAATGTTCCAAAGTGTTACTTGGCTTTTAATTATATAGTATCTCTTCTTGGCTGCACTTGTGGAATGCTTTTCACCGGTAT